GATCCCACATTGGTTGGAGAGGGGAACGAAACATTCCTTATAAGGGTGTGGAAACCTCTCCCTAACAAATGCGTTTTAAAACCTTGAGGGGAATGAACCTTGAAAGGAAAGCCTAAAGAGGACAATTTTTGCTAACGGTGGGCTTGAGCTGATACAAATGGTATCGAAGCCAGACACCGGGCGGTGTGCCAGCGAGGACACTGGTCCCCCAAGGGGGGTGGATTGTGAGATCCCACATCGGTTGGAGAGGGGATTGAGTGGATTATGAGATCTCATATCGGTTGGAGAAGAGAACGAAGCATTCCTTATAAGGGTATGGAAACTTCTCCCTAGTCGACGCGTTTTAAAACCTTGAGAGGAAACCCGAAAGCAAAAACCCAAAGAGGACAATATCTACTAGCAGTGGGCTTGGGCTGTTACAGCAACAGAGCCTTGCAGTTCTAGTTTGTTTGACTCTGTCCAAGACTTCAAATTTGTATATGAATCAAGTTCTAGTTTGTTTGACTCTGTCCAAGACTTCAAATTTATATGAATAAATTACCTGGTATGAAAGTTAATGGACATGACAGGAGCTGAACCAGACAAGATTTGGATGTTGATGAGTAGACTACATACAACTTGGAGGTTTTCGTAGTTTGAAACGAAAACCTTCACTAATTAGCTCAATGGTCTAGGCGGTAAGGTACATATCAAGATTCCCTCATGATCATATCTTAGAAGCGATAATTAATAGTTGCTCAATCAAAGAAGTTATCCCGTTTTATCACAATTGATCGGTTTTGTTAGCCTTGCCCCATAAGGAGTATCAATTCACAGTCTGTCAGCAAGAAATCCCATCAGTTTGAAGATAGTTTTTGTTTCCCCATAAAGATAATTGAAGCTGAAAAGATTTGAGATCTAATTGAGTTTGTGAGAACCCAAAAGAACAACTTAGAAGCCAAGGAGACAAAATGAATTGTGTGAAGCGCTCCCATTAAGGTTTAAAATTGTACAATCTGACAAAAATCAATTGGCCTTCTATGCTTTTTCTTTGAAGATCCTGTTATTTCATGTCTTCTGGAGAGTGCTTGACATGTTTGACCATAAGACTCCAGGTTTTACAAAAACCAGAACTTGGGTTGTAATCATTAAGTTCACTTTGTTGCCAATACAGCTCAGTAGCATAGAGAATATGCTATGCATGCTTTGATTGCTATCTTTCTTTTGATTTGTTGGTGGGGACAAGGGTGTGGAGGATATGGGTCATACATGAACTCTATAATCAATGATAAGGGTTTGACATTTGAACACTTGGTGCAGAAGCTACACCAAAAGCAATAATGCGAACAATGAATGTGAAAGGACTTACTCTCTTCCATCTGAAGAGCCACCTCCAGGTAATCATAATGACATAAAAAGGCATGTTTTTATGAACAAAAAGAAACTGATGTTGGAATTCATGATGAATTTGTGTTTATGCATTGCTTGTTTCTACATTTCAGAAATACAGATTAGGTAAGCAATCAGGGAAGGATATGGGTGAGGCATCTAAGGATGGTAAGCGATAAATTTCTGTTCTGTCTTTGCATTTCAAGTGATATAGCCTCCATGAGTCTCTGCTGATATCAACTGCATTTATTAGTGTTGGGTCATGGAGTTCTTATCCAAAAGAGCTTGCTCTCTTCCTCTCACCACCAGTATTTGCACTAGCTACTCATTTCTGAAAGCTTTAACCTGTCTGGTCCAAATATTTAAATCTTTGTTTATCGCTTGGTGCAATGAACATCAGGTGCATATCTTTTAGAAAGCCCAAGTACCAATAATTTCTCTCCTGACTTGCCAATTTCTGAAATGGCCGAGTAAGATAAGAGTTTTTTTTCCCTCCTTTAAGACACTTATGATAATGCCTCGAATGTTTTGTTTACAAGATTTGTCGTATTTTCGAACCGTGTATAACTTCGATGTCTGTTATAGTGGTTATGAAGTCAAGGAGGCATTAAGAGCGCAAATGGAAGTTCAGAGTAAGTTACATCTGCAAGTTGAGGTAAAATTCTCATCCTTGACATTAAAATGGAAATTCATGATGGTTTTAGACAGATTTCATGAAGATCCAACTCTGTTAATGAATGCCTGGTGGGTTCTAAACTTAATTTAAATGGAGAAAGTCTGAGATCCTAAAACGAAACATTCTTTGCAAGGGTGTGGAAACCTCTCCCTACCAGATGCGTTTTAAAATCTTTGAGGGGAACCCCGAAGGGGAAATCCCAAATAAGACAATATATGCTAGCGGTGAGCTTGAGCTGTTACTTTCTAGTTTTAAGATTGCTTACTTGCTTGGTTGATTATCCTTGTGATCGAGTACGTTGAGAATTACTGATATAAAATGTATGATACACTACATTCATCAGCTAGCTGACCTTACCATCGTTGGGCAGGCAGAGAAGCACCTCCGGATTCGTCAGGATGCCGAGCGAAGATATTTGGCTATGCTTGAGAGAGCTTGTAAAATGCTTGCAGATCAGTTCATTGGAGGTGCGGTTTCGGACTCGGACAGCAAGAAGTCCCAAGGACAAAATCGTAAGAGCCCAAGAAGTTTCTCTATCGACCCACTTGGTTTCTATGCTTCACAATCACAAGAGATGGAAAGAGTGAATGGTACAGAAGAAGTTCAGACTAATCTTCGTCGCCAAAGGGCTGATTGTTCGACCGAAAGCTGCCTAACCTCGAACGAGAGTCCAGGGGGATTGGCCATGGAGAAAAGTCCTGTTGCAAGCAAGAAAAACATGGCTAACTTGGATTCAGAAAATGCATCTTTGATTTGGGGTGAAGCCAAGGAAAGAATACAAGATGCCAACATGATCCAAGTGAACCATCTCAGCATATCCGGGTGCAACATGTGGGGATGAACTTCTGCAGACAAAAACTCATCAGAATTGATGAAAAGTATGTTCTATTTCCAGCTTTTGTAAAAATTTCATCATTTAGAATCTGGCACGAGCGAATGCCGTTTAGTATGTAGACAACTCGTCGAAAATGCAAGTAGTTAGGCATTCTTTTGGCTGTTCTGAACAATTATAGTCGATCTCTGTCTGGCTTAGGCAGACATGAATCTATTATCAGGGTGTAATCAGTAGTGTTCTGTTGGAAACACATCTTCTTTCACTTGTTAGCAGTGCAATAGACCTTTCTTCCAATGATGATGCGTATCATAATTATTTTTTATACTAAACCATAACAACTCTGGCCGTAACCGTTCAAGTCCGCCACTAGTAAATATTGTCCGCCACTAGTAAATATTGTCCGTTTTAATCCGTTATGTATCGTTATCAACTTCATGATTTTAAAACGTGTATACTAAGAAGTTTCCTGTTCAACCAACTGGGATCTTACGATTCACCATTTTTGGAGATGAATCTCACAAGGGGAAGATGAAACAACAAAAAAAAAAAATGCAAATCTAAGATGTCCATTAAAGATTGTTTATATTTGAAGAATTAAAAAAGAAAAAAAGTTTTATACTTTGATGTGTAGCTGTCCTCCAAAAGCCAAGGAAAAGTCCCAACTTCCGATGTCTTTTTGACTCTGACTACAACACATAATTTTCTGTTGGAACGGAAAGAGCCGTTCCTTTTCCTTTTCCCTTTCTCTTTTTTCTTTTGATTATTATTATTTATTTATTTTTAAATAGTTCAAATAAAGATTACTTTTTTACATTTATTTAAAAAAAATATTAATAAATTCTAAATTTTTAATTTTCTCCTGCAATTATACGAACTTTTAATTTTATGTTTAATAAATTATAAATATTAAAACTATACAATAAGTTTTTGAATATTTAACGTTACGTTAAAGAAACCCTATAATCCATATGGATTTTTTCAATATAAATCACGACAATTTAGTATTTCTTTATAAAGTTGAAATTCACCGAATATTAATTTACTTAAAAAAAAAAAAAAAAAAAAAAAA